GCGACGCAGCCAGTCAGTGAAAGATGTTCAGCAACCAAATGGGGACCGCGGGTGCGGTGGCGGGGAACCCGTTACCGACTGCGAGACAGCTATGGTCCTGATTGAAAGTAATGAAGTTAAGGGAAGCGTTCGCCATGGTGTACGACCGAAGCCGGGGCCTTCGGCAGGATGTATGCGCCGTGATGCGACGGACACCGAAGATGCACTATCGCCGGGACAGCGCCGGCGGTGGGAAACTACCAGACGGAGATGATGTTTAGTCGACGACGGGGGTTCGAGGAGCCGAAGAGTTTTGTATTTCGCCAGTCACAGCGATGATAGAATTCCAGTATCTCGACCGAAGATTGAGGAAGGAAGGAGGATTTGCTGTCGAAGGCAGCAGCGCAAATTGGTAGTCGCCAGGAGGCTGGAGTGCTTTGGTGTTGGTCGGTGGACGGTGGTCGGCGGTCGGGTCAAGGTTCGGACAAAGCCAAACCGTCAAGCCTTTGATGAGCTGGTGATTGTCGGGATAAGCTGAGGTTTCGCTGCAGCGCCCGGCAGCGGAGCACCTTTTAACTTGAGGTACCTTGGAGGAAAAGTGACGATAGATGTGGAGGGTAAGATATCGAGTCTGGACGGTACCGGCAAGGTAAGGTAAGGTAAGGTAAGGTAAGGTGAGGTCCGGACACTGAACGTGAACCTGGTGGCCCCCAATGGCAAGGTGGACTGGAACCCTGGCAGCGGGGAAGCTATGTAATCCGTCGGCCGGGTGGTCCCAGCGCCTGGATGGTAGTACCTAGGTACCTTGCGCTGAACATGGGGTGCGTTTGTGGCACGTGTGGCTGTGTTTGGCTCGGGCACTTGCGCCAGCTGACCGCCAGGAGTGTTCTAAGGTACCTAGGTCTGTTTAATTATTAGGTGGGCTCCCCGTGCCCGTGAGTAAATGGCAGGTGCCTAACCTACCTGCTTACGTACCTAGGTACCTAGGTAAGGCAAGGCACCTGAGGTAAGGTGTGGACGATAAGATAAGAGTCCAGGATGGCACTAGAAGCCACACACACACACCCCCTCCATACGATGACTGAGCATTCGGCAGTGTGGTCATGGAGCTGGAATAACTTGGAGACAAGTGCTTTGCTTGGGTCACATCAATACACAAACGAGTTTCATGAAGCATTTCCATTATTCATCGGGAACCCAAATGAGGCTTTGTCGTGAACTGCAAGATGGCGCACTGAGCCCAAGAATAGTAATAAATGAGGGCTCTAGACGGGAAACCCCGTAAACAACGTAGCTGAGCTCTTCCGCGGGTCGTTTTGGGAGAGGTGGAAAGGGAAAGAAAAAAAAAAAAAAACCTGCACACCAGTGTCGGAAAAGCAAAGGCACAGAACTGTGACTCGACAACAATTCTTCACCACTTTTTAGAAAGTCCGTCAACTGCCACTCAGCATGGCGCCCTCGGTGCAAAATGCCCGCAGGGGTCAGGCTCTGGACGACCTCATCATGGCAGTGAGTCAATATCGAGTTCCATCCCAGCCTACGGCTCACCTCGGTTCTTCGGTCGCTTGCTGATCAACGTGTCTTTCGTTTGCTACCTATCAGACAAACAGCAGTTCCATAGTTTCAAAACGGAGTGTTGTAAGTTAGCCAAGCATGTTCTCCCTTCTCTATTCATCAGTCACTCATTTAATCAGGAACGCCTATATTACCCCGACGAGCCGCATTACTTTCGGTTCTTCGTCAAGAAGTTCCAGCGACGAGCTCCTCTTATCAACAGGGGTTATCATTTACGACTGAAGGTGATTGACACGCTCGTCCGCCGTTTTCTCCAGAGGCCTTCGTATCGCAAGAAGGTAGTTGTTAACCTTGGTTGTGGAAGGTAAGTTGAGGATCCTTCTGGATTTGCGTTGCTAGACTTGTCCAATGCCGAATGTTGGTGGCGCTCACTAAACTCTCATCAGTGATGTCTTGCCGTGGCAGTGCGAGGTGCGCTACCCGGACGCCTGCCGAGATGTCACATTCATCGACGTCGACTACCCAGACCTCATCCAGAAGAAGCGCCGTATTGTTCTCGACACGCCCGAACTGCATGCTCTTCTTGGAACTTGGGAGGTCAACAACAAGTCCCCCATCGTCCTCCAAAGCCAGAAATACTGCCAAGTCGCCTGCGATCTTCGACAACTCTCCGCCCTGGAAAATGCTTTATCCAAGCTGTTTGACCTATCCGCAACTGAATTTCTCTTTGTGGCTGAGGTGTCTATTACATACATGGACACGGAGGGTGCTGATTGTGTCATCAATTGGGCTGGTTCCCTTCAACATGGTACTGCACTGTTGAACACTCCCTATCTTCTATGTTTCTAATTACCGATGCAGCCGAGTTTTGCTTGCTGGAGCAGATTCTGCCGGACGGACCGGATCATCCTTTCGCTCATACGATGCTCAAGCACTTCAACAAGTTGAATACACCAATCAAGTCTGTTCATCGCTACCCAAGCGTCGCTAGCCAAGAGGCCCGCTTTGAGACATTGGGATGGTCCGCGGCGGAGAGTTGGACGCTTTGGGAGGCTTGGGCCGACGACCTGTTCATGACTTCTGAAGAGAGGCGAGCTCTTGATGTTGTTGAGCCCTTTGATGAGTGGGAGGAGTTCGCTCTCTTCGCTAGTCACTATGTTGTCATCCTTGCCTCAACTTTTGGGTCTGACAACGGCAGACATATCTCTCAAAAGCCAGGGGATTCCACCATTCCATCCTATCAAACGCACATGAACTTGTCCAAGTATGAAGCTAATCGAGGACACCGCCGATTTGGCGCAGCCATGCTCGTCGAGAACCCCAATGGTCAGGTTGTTGTCTCACACATGCAAGGCCAGGGGCCAAATGGAAGGTTGACGTCAGTGGACTTGTACCGAATCTCGGCTGATCGCCCGCCAGCTTCTTCTTCTCAGAAGGGCCCGTCCGGCAGGGTTTGTCACACACTCACAGATCTAGGAAATGCCGGTGTACTCCTCGTTGGTGGACGTGCTTCTCCATCAACAGCCTTCAAAGATTGCTGGCTTTACAGAAAAGTATTCAATACCTGGGAACGGGTACAAGACCTTCCGGTCCCCCTATTCCGCCATTCAGTGACTCGGTTGGGAACCTCATCATTGGCATTGCTTGCTGGCGGACGGCCTAATCACACACAGACCTCTGCAGATTATCTACTCTTTAATCCCATCAACGGCTGGACAAGGTGTAAGACACAGGGCTCTCCACCTCCACTTTACGGCGCAACCTTCACGTGTATAAGCAGCATGCTGGGAGAATTTGAGGGAATCATTGCCGGGGGACTACTTGAAGACGGCCTCGTAAACCAGAGAACGTACAGATGGACATTGAAAACTTCAGATCCCGAAGTAAGAGCTCATTCCGATACCCTTGATTATCAGCTGACCAGCGAATACAGCCTGTTGTTTCATTTGAGATTGTCGATGCACTGATTCAGAGGAACCAGACGAGCTTGTTGTCTAGATTTGGGGCAACAGTCATCAACTCTGGGGAGTACTCCTTTGTGTTTGGTGGCGTAATTAAGGACGTCCAATTGCCTGCGGCATTGGACATGATTATCGTCAAAGAGGTCAATGCCGGACTAGAAATCGTTGCGAGCCTCGATGGATTCGGCGAGTCTGGCAGCCTTCGTCCTTTCTTGATTGGAGCTTCGGTTATTCCTCACGCCGACGGAGAGTTCGCCGTCGTTGGCGGCGGTGCCACTTGCTTTTCGATGGGAACCTGCTGGACACAAGGAAGTTACAACTTCGCTTTCGACACTCAACGACTAGTTTCCGGGCAAAAGAAGCTACCACTTCTAGCTTCCCAGATTGCGCCAGTCGAGTACTCTGAGACTGTCAAAATCACAGCGGACGAGACAAAAGCAAGTACAGAGATTTTGCCGCCGGTTTCCCTCCATTGTCTGCCTCGTATCAAGGTTGAGTCCAAGGATCAGTTCCATACAATCTTAGATGCGGGGAAACCGGTCATCATTGAGTCTGCAAATTTGGGCCCATGCGTATCTGAATGGTCACAGGAATATCTCGTCAAGACCGTCGGCGCAGACCGTGAGGTTCGTCCACCGAGTCCTCCACGTCCCCGCCGTTTGATCTCCTGGCATCGCTAATATCCTGCTCCTTAGGTCTCAGTTCACGAATCTACGGTCGAAAATATGGATTTCAACGCCAAGAATTTTCGTTACGTTACCAAGAATTTCGGCGAATTCATCAAAGAGATTGGAGAAGGGAAGCGGCTTTACTTGAGAGCTCTGTCGAAGGATGAGCCATCAAATCTTCCTACACAGTTGGCCACCGACTATCCGTCCTTGGCAAAGGACTTCATACTCCCCTCCCAACTCGCCTATGTTCAAGACAACACCTTCAGTTCCGTGTTGCGCATCTCTGGCCCGGTCAACATGTGGTTGCACTATGACGTAAGCTCACATCTTCTATGGTTTCTTGCGCGCAAGATCTCTCAAGATAGTGCTGACTCTCTAACAAAGGTCATGGCCAACGTGTACGCACAGGTCAGAGGATCGAAACGTCTCATACTGTTCCCGCCTACGGACGTTAGTTACCTCTCCTTTTCCCCAGGTGCGTCAAGCTCCAGCGTGGATGTCTTTTCCGCACTGGGTGCGGGCTCACTGCGCGGCGTGCAGCCATACGAGGCCGTCGTGGAGCCAGGCGACATTCTCTTCTTGCCGCCCCTCTGGCTCCATACTGCCGCTCCAACTTCGGACATGAGCGTGGCCGTCAACATATTCTTTCGCAATCTGGAGAAGGGATACTCTTCAGGAAGAGACGTCTATGGCAACCGCGACTTGGCCGCTTACGAAAAGGGGCGCCAGGACGTTTCACGCATCGCAAATAACTTCAGCAAGCTGCCATCAGATGCTCGGCAGTTCTACATGAGGCGCCTTGCAGATGAGCTACTGCAATCAACAATGAATGTGTAGTGCAACGAATTTTTATAGCAGAACCCAGTGTAACCTGTTACTGAGGTCCGCGAACCTTCTGCGTCATCCAGCGGAAAATTCCGAGCACGTCATTTCCAAGTCCTTCATTGCTCTCTCGCGCCCTCTCAAGCCCGCCACGTCTGAAACCTCCAGGGAGGCAGAGCCATAATGCGAGGATGAAGACGAGTATAGCCATAATGATGGGCTGGAGTACTTGAACTCCCTTGCTTTGGGCAATGGCCCCGACGGCAAACGGGAATATTGCTGCACCGCCGCCGCCGAAAGCGGCCGCGAGACCGATCGCGCTCACGTGGTAGTCGTTAGGCAAGAGTTTGGTGGCGGCAACAATGACGGCGGGGAACAGCGGCCCGAGAAAGAAGCCTAAGAAGGTGACAAAAATAATGGAAGCTACGAAGCTAGGCACCAACCAGTAGAGCAACTCCAGGGCCACGGAGAGCACAAGGTAGATGGCAATAGCACGTTTCTCTCCGATTCTTCCTGTGATAAAACCTAGTATCACTCGACCGATCGTCAGTCCAAGCCTATATGAAACCCGGTCAGTGAGATTTCAATAGCAGCAACAGAAAATGGGGCAACGTCTTACCAGAACAGGACCACAGTAACGCCAGTCAAGAAGGGTTCCGCCTGTCTTACACGAAGCATAAACGTGACGAGCCAACCTCCTAGGCTTACCTCAGCTCCAACGTAACCAAGCAGGAAAAGAGCAGGAAAAGAGCAAGAAGCCAAGTGATTGGTTTCTTCAGAACTGCCCGGGTTGTCGTTCTCCCGCCGTTCGTGGATGGCTGATGAGTTTGTCGATGGACATCGCCGGTTGCCCCCCAAAACGCCGTCAGTGCCACGGCAAACTCAACGACCGTGACTCCTATCATCACGTAGTAAAAGGCATACCACGGCAATTTCTGACCCTTGGTAACCACAGCAGAGGCAATGAGTGGGCCGATAGTTCCCCCAACCCCGTAAGCGCCATGAAGAATGCCCAAGAGTTCGTTCGCATTTTGCATATTACCAACCCAGGCGTTCCAAGCGCTGTCCTCAAGCCCGTTCCCTAGACCGGTGAATAAGGGAACAACGGGGAGTACAGGGTACGGCGGGTGTAAGGCCAAAGGTATATAGCCAACGATGCGACTCAAGGGGCCTAGCACGGCGACACCACGTTGGCCAAAGTGGTTGTGAATCAGGTTGTTAGAAAGCGCGGCAATGACATATCCAACGAATGGCGAGAGAAACAGCAAGGCCACAACGGTGTACGTGACGTTGTAGTAGGTTTCTATCTGGGTAACCCGATCAGTGAGGCTGCATACAAGGGGTCTTGCGGCATGCCTCCGTACTTACATATGGGATTAAGGCCTGTGGTGAATGGGAGAGTTTTGGCAGAGACATACCCCTATTGCCGCATCATTCATCCCCATGATCGTGAAGCTCAGCAGCGTCACGCAGAAGCGGAAAGCATTGGCACGAGTTCCGTTCCACCTTTCTAAAGGGCTCTCAGGGGTTGTTGAAGCTAAAACCTTCTCATGCCCGTCGATGACAACGTCAAGCGGCCGAGCTATCTTTTCGTCCATAACAGGCGACTCGCGCGGGCTGTAATGTAGTAGATTAGAGATGATGATGAGGGCAAAGTAGACGAGAAAAGGTGTAGTGTGAACTGGAGCAAGCACAGTATTTATTCGTTTGATAGCAGTATGGCCGGGGCATGGCCCGCAATGACGGCTACGGTACCAGAGTTCTCATCCCGAAGCCGGCATGCCACAGAAAGATGAACCAACGGGCTGCGGGGCCGATACCTGAGCGAAGACATCCAATAACATCGCGGACTTGGGGAAGAGGTGGCGAGAGGATTGAGTATCATTCTACCGAGAAGCGATGTGCAGCCGATATTTAGCCATCTCCACGCCGGCTGGTGCTCACTCTTATTCTCACCGCCGGCCCTTATCAACAACTCATCCAGTAAGTCATGACCGGATTCGGCGTTATTATCCCACTGTGGGGCCGGGTGGGCGCGTCGGAGCCGGTGATGACCCGAAAGTGCTGAGTTCCGGTCGGACTAATGTAAGCCGTCCGCAGATGTTAATTCGACGAGGTCCGTAATACAGCAAAGAAATTTGTGTACGAGTCTGTCCAGTTTTCTTGGGTCTACGAGGCTATGTTTTCTTTAGACTTCCAATTACTAAAGCAATACCATGACCATGATGGTTTAGAGACAACGGTAGGCACAGGCGACCATAACAACGATGTTGACGACGATATTCAGCTACAGCGACGACGAAGAAAACTGCAGTAAGATATAAGTACGCCTACCAAACACCGTGCGATGTCGTGCCGCAGCTTGTGTGATTACCTATTTAGTACACCCTTGCATGGCAGCAATAGCGCAGTCGGTGGCCAATAGCGGAGCGTCTTACAGGGTCATGCGGCCTTGTATAGGTGGGATTAAGGTGCTTTTAGCGTCCGGCATTTCCATTTTCCGGCGTGCCCTCTTGCTGCTGCGGCGTCCAACCTCAGCTTCCAGCCGTCTGCATGTATTTTTGGACGATTTCATGCCCTTTCAATAAATGAACTGGGGTGAGAAGCAACTAAAAAGAAGAAGAAAAATATCAAAAACAATGCACGGCGGATGAGTCAATGCGGCTCAACTCAGGACGTGACGGTATTCCAGCCACCAGCATGCCGCAATACGCCGTTATTGACACCGATTTTGATACTGATGCTGATATGGATATGCGGCACGAGGCACGGCCACTCTGATCCCATGGCCACCTTCCCCAGGTCATCCCGCCTGACCCGTGCTCGCTGCGAAGGTGGCCGAGTGTCATGCACTTGCTTCGGCCATTCTCATCGTGTGACATCATGATTCCTCACAGTTTCCTCAAGCCGTACCGACACACTGGCATCTCCTGGGTACAGCAGGGAACGGCTACCCCGCCCGTTTCTTTCGCCGGAAAAGCCGCAGCTCTACAGTCCTTACAATCCAGCCGCTGTACATCAGTTTTGTTTTTACCTGTTTATACATCTCATATTTGGAAGCAGATAGGCTAAGGTGTGCGATACTGCGACAAAGACGCGCAAGGCTCTAGCTGGGTTATTTCAGCGGCTGCCCAGATACCATTCCTTTTTGGGTGACCTCACCTTGCATATGTGGCCTTACCCCCCTTCTCTCCTAAAACCACTAAGACTCTTTGATCTGTCTACACATCATCTGCTGTCTTACTTGCCCGAGCTGATGCTGGCTGTGAGCTAGTGTACAAGAAAAACAGACAGGAGGGGGGAGAGAGAGGGAGTGTGTGAGTGAGAGAGAGAATGGTGGACGCTAGTGCTTTGGCTACCTAGCCTGCTTACTCGTTCAACTCTGACCTTGGTGTAGAGAAAGCCAACCGAGCCTCAAAGATAGCCTCACTTAAATTTTTTTTTTTTTTTGCCTGCGAGACTCGCTCTCAGGCCTTGCAAGTTCAACCCGGGACTGAGTTGATAAAGAAGGCAGAGACCTCCTTTCTCACAAAGATCACGTCTCGGCTGCCCTTCCACCACTCATCCAGACAACCCCTTTCTCCTTCTTCCAAAAACTCAGGTTGGTCGACTCAGTCTGACGCAGATCAATTATCGTCTGACCCTGCAGAAAATCCGACGCCAAGCAGTCAAAAACTTCCGTACGACACGCCGACATCTCCCCTCTGCTCGATCTCAGCCTACTTATGTCTAGGCAGTACGGAGAAGCCCGCGAGGACTTTGCCGGCAGTCCAAGCCATCGTCGCGGAGAGCCACCTCCGGTATCCAGAGATCATTCGCCCGAATACTACTCAGGAGGGGGCGGGGATCCTTTGGTTCACTCCAAAGGTCCAGCGCCTGACACCGGTCCTTATGTATCTGGTGCCATCCCCCCCGAAGTAGCCAACGGTGCCGCGCGTTCATATTATGAACTGGACTCACCACTCTCACCTCGCGATACCAATGCTCTGCAACTACCGCAGCCACCGCAATACCGCCCACGTTCCGTCCCCCCAGCAGCTTTCGCCGTATCAAGAGGTCGTCCGTGCCCGCGATCACGCTCCCGCTCCCGTTCCCGTTCTCGCCACCGTCCCCGAACTCCGCTAGGCAAGGCGCGCCATGCTGTCGACCATACGTTCTCGAACTCTTCCTCGGGGATCGGCGTCGGTCTTCTCGGTGCCGTCGTTGGTGGTCTCGCTGCGCGGGAGGTTTCGGATGCGGCTTTGCGCAATCGCACCCACAAAGAGATAGAGAAGGGAACATATCATCCGCGATCACCACACGACACCGAGAAGGCGCGGGTGATATCTACGGTTGTCGGTGCTCTTGTCGGCGGGCTTGGAGCTAACGCACTTGAGAGGCGATTCGAATCTGCTCGTGAACGGGATCGTGTACAGCAAGCAGCCTGGGAAAGGAGATGGGGAAGGGACCGAGATCTTCCGCATCACGACACGAGCAGAGAACACGACCGCGATCATGGTAGGGGACGTCCATGTGCCCGACGCCACGATGACTGGGATGATGACTACAATCGCGATTATGACGGCCGCGTCCGGCGCGGTTGAGAACTTAGGATCTTTACCCCCAGAGGAACTGGTTCGTCTTGGTTAACCAATCTCTTGGGACGTTACTTTTCACGACGCAATGCATAATGACGATACTTTCTTTTGCTCTGGAAATGAGAAGTTCGCTGGGTTCTCATTTAGTTACAAATTACTGAAAATCACATATCCTCACTAGCCCCCTTTCCGTGTTTCTTCCTTCTTACCGGGTGTAAGTTTTTGAGAAATCTTTGTGCCGCGCCGTCGTGCGCTCAATTACGCAGAACTATCCGTACATCGTTTCTTCATTTGTCATAGCCTCAGCGGCTTGTAGTAACGTGTTGCCGCCGCCATAATGTGAGGGGAACCATATGATGAAACGTCCATTCTGGCACGTCTTCAGCCATGTCACTTTCCACCTGCTGAGGAAACCGCAGCCCATTATCGCCTGATTTTCTCTTCTCGTACCGCTTCAATGTACTCGTGCAGTTCTTGCCATAAGGACAAGGCTCGAGTGCGCTCCGCCAAACACGTTTAGTTATCGAACCGCAGTGCCTCGGAGTTGATATCGTAGCCATCAGGAATCAAATGAAGCCTACCGTATGGATCCATCCCCTCGGCCAGATCTTTCGAAGGCTCCCACTGTCTGTCTCCCTGCCCGTGGGGCAATGTCTTGGGTGTGTTGTCGCGGGCTAGCTTCTCTCGATAAGCTTGCTCCCTCTCCACGATGACTTTGAAGAACTGGGCTATCTCCGCAATCGCAATTTGCTGGGCTTCGGAGCATCCGATTGTATTGCATAGAGACTGCGAGTCAACCAACTGCTTCGCGATTACGGAATCTGGCTGGCAGAAAGTGCGAATACGGAGGGCTCGGGCGTTGACCTTCATCGCATGAAGAAGGCCTGCGATCTCCAAATGATTGCCTTGGCGACGTCCAAAGAAGCGGAACTCATCAATATGCAGATGAACAAGATCGAGCTGTGTCTCGAGGTCGTAGCGAAAGCCGACGACTCTGGGACGGCCCTTCTGGTTCCACCCATCTGCGATCTTTTTCAGCTTGTCCGGGTTCAGGCGGCCGTGGTTGAGCTCGTTCGTGATGTAGGAATGGAGGGCATTGCTGATGTGAAACTCGAGCTCGCAGTACAGAAGACTCTGCTCGCGAGGATCCAATGAAATTGTGATTCGCTTGACCTTCCCCTCTCTCTCTACATCTCGGACTTTGCGACTGGGCTTGCTCTCAGTCTATTCACATCTTAGCCAACATGCATACACTTGTAGAAGGCATCGCACTCACCATCTCTTTGGCAATCTTCTTCAGGCTGTCGAGCAGACCCGGCTTCTTGGGAGAGGTGTCCTTCTTCTTGCGGTCCGGAGATTTTTGGTCTGAAGATTCGTTCGGTCTCTCGAGCCATCCTTGCTCTCCAATCAGGGTCTTACCGGCAATCTTCTGCACGGGCAGGTCTTTGTAAGCAAAATAGGGTCTCAGAGGAGAATATAGCTGGCCAGCATCCATTGCAGGCTGTCTGAGGGCCTCAAGTCTACCCTTGGGGGGCGCCTGTCTCTGAGAAGCTACTCCACGACTATCGACATCAGGCGCACCAGTAGGGACGGTGGTGGTGTGCGGGTTCGAATTCTTCCAGCCGCTGTATGACTGCAAGACGCTATCGACTTGTTGAGAGGTATTCTTATGGATCCGCAGAGGACTAGGTTGTTCTGCGTCCCTCGAGTAGATTGATGAAGATTCTTCCTTGTCAGGAGTTGCTGGAGACGGGTTGTCTGAGGTTGGGGAAGATGCAGCAACCATGTCGTCACCATGGCCGACAAGAGTAGCGTACTGACGGCGATCCTCAATGTTGATCGGAGTAAGTGTATTCTGTCTACGACGCTCCGCAATGTTTGACGACATAGAACTCTTGGCCTTGTGAGTCTTGTGAGGTGATCGGGGCATCAGCTCCGAGAAAGTCGTGGAATCACTGTCATGACCCTTCTGTGCCATTTGATTAGTGGCCTGGCCGCTCTTAGCATACGCATGTGGCTCC